GAGAAACAGGTCTAAGAAACACGTTCTGTTGGAGCAGACCATCGTGTTTGTGAAAATCTCCCTGCATGATATTCACATGCAGCCTGGGTTGACATCCACAGCCTCAGAAGAACAGAATTCTCTTTGTCATGAGCTGCTCTAAGGGCAGGGATGACCTTTGTCTTTCCTCATCTTAATGTACCATGGGGAGGCAAGAACTTCAGTAAGTGGGATTCACAGCAAGGTGCAGATTAGAACTCCCTACAGAGGATTTCACCATCCTATGAGGTCCCATCCCAGAGATTCTGATGGGGTGATCCAGCTTAGGGCCCAGGCATCAGCAAGCCTGAAGCCCCCAGGGGGCTCTGATGCACCGCCAGTGCTGGGAAGGTGACCCCCAGAGGGTCCGATGCCCAGGGAGCTTTTTCCTCTGAGATAAGGAAGAGAGCTTCATGGACGTCTTGGGGCCTGTGGCAGAGGACTAGGGTGTGACCGAGGAACTCTTCTTAAGATAGATTGTGAAGGGGTGCGTGGGTTCTATACTAATGTGTTTTTCAAATGTGTTTCAGGCTGTTTCTCTTCTTGAGGATATGTCAAGAAATGCTTGTGTTCAGCTTTAGAGCTTAGGGAAACTCATCAAAACTAAGGAAAATTGTTTCCATAATTTTTGTATAAATAAAAATGATTTCTAATTTCATGATACAAAGCTCCATGAAGTCTGTTTTCATCTGGCTGATAGAAGTAAAAAGACATTCTATTCTTGTCTTTGTGTGTGTGTGTGTATACAGAAGTAAAACTATTACGCAGATTTCTTTGGTGATACATAAGCAAAAAAGGAAAGAAAAGATCTGGGCTGTGATGGGAAGTGGTTTCTACCTGTTTTTCTGAAGGTGTGACTTCAAAAGAGTTAAATCACACAAACCATGACAACAATTAGTACTAGTGATCCTTTTTTAAGGTAATAAAATGGAAAATACCCAATGGACACAAACATGTTCAAAGGGTTTTTTTTCCCTCAGGTCAATTTCCACCATCATAAAAAGAGACAAAGTGATTATATGATTGGACTGCCACTTGTCCCCGAAAGAGGTGAGAGGAACAGACAGTAGGTTTTATTACTTTTATTTTATTTTAAATAAATATTACAGTAGTAAACAGATGTTTTAATGACAGCTTATTTGAGCTCCATTGATCCTTTGAATCCATATGAAAAAGCATGCCCATATCTGACCACATTCAGCTGCACTGGGAACCACAAAGAAAGAAAAAATATTTACTTCAATGTTCGTTAATTGGGATTTTAAAGTGATGCTTCTTCCATAGAGCCACAGGTTGGTGAAAATGTGACAAGGGCTGCTGTGATTTCCAGAACAAGCTCCCATCCTCTGGGGGTCCTCAGATGGATTGATCCTGATGGATCAATTCCTGGACATGTACACCCTCTCAAGACAGAACCAAGAAGAAATTAATTCCCTGAACAGACCAATAATGAGCTCCAAAATTGAGTCAGTAATAAATAGCTTAAAAGGCCAGGACAAGATGGATTCACAGTCAAATTCTACCAGATGTACAAAGGAGAGCTGGTACTATTCCTACTGAAACGATTCCAAAACATTGAGGAGGGAGGCCTCCCCAACTCATTCTATGAGGCCACCATTATCCTGATACCAAAACCTGGCAGAGACACAATAAAAAAAGAAAACTTTAGGATCAATATCTTTGATAAATATTGATGCAAAAATCCTCAACAAATACTTGCAAACCAAATCCAGCAACACATCAAACAACTAATCCACCAGGATGAAGTAGGCATCATCTCTGGAATGCAAGATTGGTTCAACATACATAAATTAATAAATGTGATTCATCACATAAACATAACCAAAGACAAAACCACATTATTATCTCAATAGATGCAGAAAAGGCTTTTGATAAAACTCAACACTGCTTCATGTTAAAAACTCTCCATAAATTAGGTATCAAAGGAACATACTTCAAAACAATTAGAGACATCCATGAAAAACCCACAGCCAACATTATAGTTAATGGGCAAATGCTGGAAGCATTCCCCTGGAAAACAAGCATGAAACAAGGAGGCTCATTTTCACCACTCCTATTCAATGTAGTATTGAAACTTCCAGACAGAGCAATCAGGCAAGACAAAGAAATAAAGGGCATTCAAATAGGAAGGCAGGAAGTCAAACTATCCCTGTTTGCAGATGACATAATTCCATACCTAGATAACTCCATGGTCTCAGCACAAAAGCTCCTTCAGCTGATATACAACTTCAGCAAAGTTTTAGGATACAAAATCAACATACAAAAATCACTAGCATTCCTATACACCGACAACAGACAAGCTGAGAGCCAAATCAGGAAGGCAATCTCATTCACAATCGCCACAAAAAGAATAGAATATCTAGGAATACAGCTCACCAGGAAGGCGAAAGACCCCTACAATGAGAATTACAAAACACTGCTCAAATAAATCAGATACGACACAAACAAATGAAAGAACATTCCATGCTCATGAATAGGAAGAATCAATATCATTAAAATGATTATACTGCCCAAAGCAATGTACGGATTCAATGCTATTCCCATCAAACTGCCAACGAAATTCTTCACAGAACTAGAAAAAACTATTTAAAAATTCATATGGAACCCAAAGAGAGCCTGAATAGACAAGGTAATCCTAAGCAAAAAGAACAAAGCTGGAGGCATCATGCTACCTGACTTCAAACTATACTACAGGGCTACAGTAACCGAAACAGCATGGTACTGGTAAAAAACAGGCACATAGTCCAATGGAACATAATAGAGAGGCCAGAAGTAAGGCCACACAGCTACAACCATCCGATCTTTGACAAAGCTGACAAAAAGAAGCAATGGGGAAAAGACTCCCTATTCAATAAATTGTGCTGGGATAACTGGCTAGACATATGTAGAAGATTGAAGCTGGACCCCTTTCTTATATCATATGCAAAAATCAACTCACAATAGACTAAAGATTTAAATGTAAAACCAAAAACTATAAAGTACCCTGGAAGACATCCTAGACAATACCATCCTAGACACAAGAATGGGCAAATATTTCATGACAAAGACACCAAAAGCAATCACACAAAAGCAAAAATTGACAAATGGTATCTAATTAAACTTAAGAGTTTCTGCACAGCAAAATTATCAACAGAGTAAACAGACAACCTACAGAATGAGAGAAAGTTTTTGCAAACTATGCACCTGACAAAGGTCTCCTATCGCAAGGAACTTAAATTTACAAGAGAAAAACAAACAACCTCATTAAAAAGTGAGCAAAGGACATGAACACACACTTTTCAAAATAAGACATACATGTGACCAACAAGTATCTGTAAAAAAGCTCAATATTACTGAACACTAGAGAAATGCAAATCAAAACCACAATGAGATACCACTTCACACCGGTCAGAATGCCTATTAAAAAGTCAAAACATAATGCTGGTGAGGCTGTGAAGAAAAGAGAACACTTACACACTGTTGGTGGGAGTGTCAGTTAGTTCAGAGACTGTGGAAAGTAGTATGGTGATTCCTCAAAGACTGAAAAACAGAAATACCATTAGACCTAGTAATCCCATTACTGGATATATACCCAGAGGAATATAAATCATTCTACCATAAAGATACGTGCATGTGAATGTTCATTGCAGCACTATTCACAATAGCAAAGACATGGAATCAACCTAAATGCCCATCAGTGACACACTGGATAAAGAAAATGTGGTACATATACACCATGGAATGCTATGCAGCCAAAAGAAACATTATCATGTCTTTCACAGAAACATGGATGGAACTGGCAGCTATTATCCTTAGCAAACTAATACAAGAACAGGAAACTAAATACCATGTGTTCTCACTTATAAGTGAAAGCTAAATGATGAGGACACATGGACACAAAAAAGGGAAACACAAAAAAGGGAACAAGAGACACTGGGGTCTACTTGAGGGTGGAAATTGGGAGGAGGGAGCAGAAAAAGTAACTTGGGTACTAGGCTTAATACCTGGGTAATGTCGTAATCTGTACAACAAATCCCTGTGACATATATTTACCTATGTAACAAATCTTCAACCTATGTAACGAACCTTCACATGAACCCCTGAACCTAAAATAAAAGTTAAAAAAAGGGAAAAATTAAAAAATTAAAAAGAGGGACTACATCAAATGTGATGAGAATGTAGGGGAAATGGGACCCTTATACAGTCTTCATGGGAATGTGTAATGATATCACCCCTTTCCAAAACAGTTTGGTGGTTGTTCCCTTTTTTAGACATTAAACTCTGAAGTATTTACTTAAGGGAAATTGTAATGTATGCCTATTCAGCAACTGGTACATGAATATTCATGCCAGTTTTATTTGTAATAGACAAAAACTAGAAACAATTTACATTATCTTCAACTAGTGAATGAATAAAGCTCTAGAATGCAATTTTGCATTGAAAGGCAATGAACTGTTGATACCTGCTACAGTGGGAATGGACCTTATGCTGTGTGAGTCTATTTATACAGAATTGTGGAAAGTGAAAATCAATCCATTGTTACCGGAAGCGGTGGTTGCTTAGAGATGGGTTGGAAGGAGTACAAAGGAAGAATTGCCATGGGGGTAAGTAATCATGATAAAATGTCTGGGGGGAATTGATATGTTCATTGTCTTGACTGTGTTGATGATTCCTCAGGTATACACACACATCAAAAAAATAAACTTTAAATATATGCAGCTTATTGAAAGTTAATTATACTTTAATGAAGCTGTTTTTAAAAATAAGCTCAATTGAAACCTGTAAAATGGAAGTTTAAAATTAGGCAAACAATATAATCCAGGTTGAAGAATAAAAAAAATATGATCAACAAGCATTTAATACATTCTGACAGTTTTAGAACAAAGAAAATGAAACAACAGCATGGTGATTTTATTTGTTCATCCAATTGAAAACATACCAACATCTCTCCCTAGAGAAAACTGTTAAAGGTTAGCAGATATCAGTCCTTTATTGACTCAGGGTGGGAGAGTAAAGAGCTAGTCTTTTCTGACTTATAGGGGGAGGATCTACATATATATTTATTTTGCTATACTTTGCAATACACAAACACATATGAATGATTGTACCCTAATATTTTTGATTACAAAGAAATGCGTGACTGTCTTAAAACATCCAAAAACATCAAATGTCTAACATGAAATACAAAATTTATCAGTAGTTTTAGACCTAAATGAAAGTTTCTACTTTGAGGGTATTGTTCAAACTCCTTTCCCAAGAGTGCCCCTGTTTTGTCATGTATTAACACAGTGTGTCTAAAATTGCCTAAGAAGTAGCAGGTCTTTCTTCTCACTCTCACACAGCTGTGTCCTCTATTGAATAGGATCTGGGTGACCCCAGCTAAAGCCTCATTTGATCTACCAACAGGCTCCTTTATCTCCTGTCCAGGGAAGGGGCGGGCCCATTTTCTTCCTAGGAAGAGCTCTGAGCTTCTCCACCCTAGGGACCAGGCAGTGTGACTGTGATGAGCCAGCCCTCAGCAGGGAAGACATAGGCCACCTGGGTGGCCATGGCACAGGTTTGTACCACAGCACAGAGGCCCCTGGAGCCAGATGAGCTCAGACAGGTGCTGCCAGGTCAGCAGAGAAAATGCCTACTGTTCCCACACCTGGGCTGTGTTGTGATAACTGGCTTCAGATGGAGTGTGCACAGAGGTCGCCAGGCTTTTCTGAAGTGGCAGTGGGAGGTCTCTTGAGACTGAGATCCGGGCCACTCACTGTGCCTAGTGTGGGCCTCTCTGGATCCTCCACAGCAGGCATCATGGGTCTCCTCATTTCACTGATGTGTACAGTGTCAGAGGCCTTTAGTTTCTTTTCCAAAGTCAAGCAATCCTTTTGCAGTTTTGGCTCATGTCGTTGATGGTGTCTTGAAGAGGAAGCATGTGAGTGAGAGACTTACCAGAATAGCTCCCATGGATGCTCATTCTCAGAATGTCCCCATGCACCTTCAGGTGAACCCCATTTGTCTTTCCTCCTCCTTCCTGGCCCCCTCTGCCTCCCTAAGGAAAGGAGGTTAAACCCCTCCTGGGACCCCAAATGCTTTCTGGATGTCGGGATCTCTGAAATCCTCACAGCCACTGAGAAACCCCTTTCCTCCTCAAGCTCTGTATAAATAACCTGCTTATCTGCACTTTGGAACAAAAAAGCAAGATGCCACCTGCTCTATTTTGGCAGTTGTCCATGGAATGGATTTCTCTCTTCCTAGAGTTTCCCCTTCTGAGCTGGACTCTGATTCTGTGAATGAAATGAAAGTTTGAGTGACTGCCTCCAACTGAACACCTTAGGTGCTCTAATCCATCCCGGACACACCATAGCAGAGGTTACCACAAAACTTGGTTCTTCTCTGTTCTCCAGAGTCCAAGATTTATAAGACCCTGGATGCCAAAGAGCTCCCAGTCCCTTCCCAGAGGAGACTGTGTTTACCCATCCACTATCTCTTCTCACCTTGGAAGAATCACATCTTACATAATTTAGCAGTGCTTTTCTGACTTTGAGCTTACTTTCCTTGGAATTCTATTCCTCATTTGAATTGGGCTCTGATCTTAGTGGAAAAGAAAGTTTAGGTGACTCATCTCTTCCTAGGCACAGAGCCCCAAAGTCTATACTTGACCCATATTTGTGGGTCATTCACTCAATCAAGGCTGTTCAGTCAGTGTTGAGTGTGAATGGGAAGCATAGAATTCCAGGGGATCATCGCCATATTTCTGAAATCTCTCTGATGACCATAAGTCATTTCCCATTTCTAATCTCAAAATGAAACCCCACTAAAGACACAGATCAGTATCCCTAATTCTACCCCTCCTGCCAGCCTCCATAGGAACAGCTAAAGACTTTACCTTGCCTTGCGCGGGGCTCTTACTGAATGAGAAGAGTGTCTTATCTTTTCTTCTGATGGTTTTTCCTCCTTATCCAAGCTCCTTTCTGTAAAGGAGATCTGTTGGAAAGAAGGTGGGTCAATGGAGCATTGGATGGAGGGGCAGTGGGAGTCTGGTCTTCAGTTCCCCATCCCATGGTGAAGCTCCAGTGAAAGGTGCTCACTCTCTCGCACATGCCCAGAATCAGGTGCAGGTTGTTCTTGTGAACCTGCTTTTCTAAGCCCTTAAGCTGGGCATGGGTCACTCCTGCCACTCGTCATGGCCTCAGTAAGAAATTTTTCCATCCTGAATGCCCTGGGGACCTAGACACAGATAAGGGGAGACTTGCAGAGCCCTGTCATCATGTTAATAAGCAGGAATTCAAAGCTAGGGGCAAAGGAACAGGAATGCAAGGAACTTTTCCTTATCTGATTTGTACCCCAATGCCCACCTTGAAGTATTTAAGACCCTGCCCAGATTTCAAGATGCAGAATTAGACAGACCACATATTGACATGTGTATATATACTTTGCAGATGAAGAAAATTATATATAGTGTTAAAATTGTACACATAGATGTTATAATTTCTCAAATGCTTGGAAATGACAAATATCAAATTATAGTTCATTACATTAGATACATGCATATGTGGTAAGATAATAATGCAGAGAAAAAGTAAACACCAAATAAAATATGCTTTCCTAGCTTGAAAGTGGGGGAGATGATTAGATCAAATGCGACTGCATTGGACTGATTAGATCACATGTAAAGCTAACCCAATCAACTGAATTCTTGAGGCAGCAAAAAGTCCAGCTGAAGAGGGAAACCTTCCCTCTACCTCATTGTCCCTCAGTCCTGGGAGCCCCACTATGCTCTGTAGAGTCTGCTTGGCATCCATGATCTAGGCTGATTCATTCAGCTGGATTATCATCATCAACCTTGCATACTTTGGTTCTTTCTCTTTGTGTTTCTGTTTATAACAAGTTGTGGATATGACTTTGCATTATGAATTTCCAGACACCTAATGAGCCACTTGTCTGTTTCCTGTCCTGAAAAACCAATACTCAAATCCAAAAATATATCCTCACAAGAACCTCTGAAAGCCACCTGTGATTGATGCTGACTCACTGACATCGCTGCTCCAGATTTTAGGACACATGGCCAGCATCAGGAGGTGCCCAGTGAAGTGCTGTGGTGGAACCCTGTCCCCAAACCCATGGAAGAAGCAGATGCTGAAATCAAGAAAGCCTCAGCAACTTCTGACCCCAGGACCCTTTAATAAGGAACAGAAGGAACAAAGAAAATGAGATATCTGAAGGATTGAAATAATCCTTGAACATTGGAATCTTTGGACATCACAATTCCAGTGTCTTCTCCTTTACTGTTTGTCCACAGCCTTCTACTGGCATGAGTAAAGAAACTCAATAAAAATACACAAAGGGCTCAGTATACTCTCAAGTTCCTCAACTTAGAAGCCCATTCTATTCCTGAAGGATCACTGCAGGCAGGTGTATGGGGCTATCTTGGAACTGCATGTACAGGCCAAATAGCAATAGAGTGCAAATCAAAGTACATCTTGATTATACATTCAAAAAAAAAAATACAGAGGCTGCCTGGAATTGGAAGTTGGATCTGAAATGAGACCAGGAGAATCCTTGGTAAAGTTTGCAAGACCTTCAATGCTTCTTTCACTCCAAAACACAGGCAAGGACTGTGCCCTTTATCCTATCCCCCAGGTGCAGATGGGAAGTTGAGACACATACAGACACTAAACATGGTTTTTTCTGCAGCAAGAAGATTTTCAGAGAAAGATACTTCTGCATAACTTACCCAGGAAACTTGAAGCATCATCAAAACTTAAGTGTAATGAGATAATCTTATAACTCTAAGGGTATTTTCCTCCTTCATTTCCTGCTCAGTTGCTCTTAATTTGATTTGATTTGCTTCTATGAACATTATCTTAGAAACCCAGCATAACCAAAAAGATTCCTCACATATATGTACTTTTGTTTTGTTTTGTTTTGCTATTATTTATATGTCCACCACTAACATGCTAGCATGGGCACTTCTACACACATTTTCAAGTAGTGTTATCAGACGCATTCTAGGAGGTAGAATCCTGCATGCAAGAACATGTTTCTTTCAACTCAATACATATTTGTTAATTGTGCCTTAAAAGGCCATTTACGCTCCCTATAAACATGTAAAAAACAGTGTGTATATATGTATGTATGTATGTTCATTCACTCATTTATTTATTTAGTTAGAAACAGGGTCTCATTCTCTGTTACCCAGGCTGGAGTGCATGATCATAGCTCATTATAGCCTCAAACTCCTGAGCTTAAGGGATCCTCATGCCTCAGCTTCCCAAAGTGCTGCGATTACAGGCATGAGACCCTATGCCTGGCTAGTATGTTTTTACTTACCATGAAAATATTAGTAGGAAGCATTCAATTTTCCTAACTGATGGTCACACAAAACATTTTTTTTGTTATTTATTTTCCTGTGACCACCAATGAAGTTGGATGCCTCTTTATGTGGGAAATGACCATTTGTATTTCTTTTACCATAAAATGTTTTCATAGGTCCTGTGCCTTTTAAAATTGAGTTTGTGTTTTACTCTTCATTGTCAGAAGTTCTTAACATATTTGGATGTCACCTGTTCCATATGATGTTAGTAGGCTGATGCCTGTCCACAATCCAAGAATAGATCTGTCCTAGAACTGTTCTCAAAAGTCATCCAGTTGTCAACAAACCTGAGATGTGATTCTTCCACATGGCAGAGCTTCCCATCAAGACATGAACTAGGCTGCTGATTACCTAATGGCCAGGAAAAGCATGGAGGATGGATTTATGGATTGGCCCCATGTTGCATCCAAGCACTTTGGCCAGGACCCAACACTTATTGCCGAGATGATAGTCAACAGGCCCAAAGTTTACTCTCATGATGCTCTCCAGTCTGCCATCAAAATACTTTTCCGGGCCACCTCTTCAACCTCTGATGCATAATATTCCCAAGTGATTCATATGCACATTAATGTTTGTGAAGTGGGGAATTTTATTCTCTTTTTTCCTTTTATTGAGAGTCTTGCTCTGTCACCCAGGCTAGAGTGCAGTGGTGTGACCTCAGCTCACTGCAGCCTCTGCCTCCTGGGTTCCAGCGATTCTCCTGCCTCAGCCTCACGGGTAGCTGAGACTACAGGCAGGCACCACCATACCAGGCTAGCTTTTGTATTTTTAGTGGTGATAGCATTTCATTATGTTGGCCAGGCTAGTCTCGAACTCCTGACCTCAGGTGATTCACCCGCCTCAGCCTTCCAAAGTGCTAGAGTTACAGGCGTGAGCCATCATTCCCGGCTAGGAATTTTATTCTTAGAAGGAGGAAGTTTATATGGGTATATTGTTTTCTCAAAAGGATACAGTTAAGATTCTACTTTTTAATGTGTATACATTGTCTCATGAAAAAAACCCTAAAATAATAATACAGTTGGGGGTGTGAGGAGTGGGTTGAAATATAGATGAAACAAAAATGGCACATGATTAGTAGCTGTGGAGGCTGGGTGACAGGTTTATCACATTACTTTATGTATTTCCTATATGCTTAAAACGTTATTTGTCAGCCAAAAATTTTGTATCCTGCCAGAATAAGCTTCATAAATGAAGAGGAAAGTTCTTTCTAGACAAGCAAATCCTGAATGAATTTGTCAATACTAAATCAGCACAATAGGAAATGCTTAAAGTGGTCTTAAACATGGAAATGAAATCTCAATATTTATCATCACAAAAACACATGTAAATATAAAACTTGCTTTGTTTGTTTATACAAAACAATCACACAAAGCAGGAAGAGAGAGGAATCAAATGTCAATGCAACAGAATTTCATCAAACCACAATAACAGAAAAAGAACAATAAAGAAACAAAGAATTTATAAAACAGCTTGAAAACAATCAATAATATGACAGGAACAAAGACTCACATGTCAGTATTAACCTTGAATGTAAATGGATTAAATCCCCCACTTAAAAAAATGCAGATTGGCAGAATTGATTAAAAACATGATCCAACTATATGCTGCCTGTAAGAAACTCACCTGTAAAGACATATACATTGATTGCAAAGAGGTGGAAAAAGATATTCCATGCAAACAGAAACCAAAAACAAGCAGATGTAGATATATTTATATCAGATAAAATAGACTTTAAATCAAAAAAGGTGGTAAAAGGCAAAGAAGGTGATTATATAATGATAAAGGGACCATTTGACAGCCAGAAGATTAACAATTGTCAGCAAGAGAATATAACAATTCTATATATATACATATGCACCCAACTTTGGAGCACCCAAAACAAATACTACTAGACCTAAAGAAAGAATTTCACAGCAATACAATAATAGTAGGAATTTTAACACCTTACTCACAGCACCAGACAGATCACCAAGACAGAAAATTAACAGAAACATGGAACTTAAACTGGACTTTAGACCAAAGGAAATTCACAGGCTTATAGAACATTTTATCAAAGAACCATAAAATATACATCCTTTTCATCAGCACATGGAAAATTTTCCAAGATAGATAACATGTTAGGCCACAAAACAAGTCCTAAAAAATTTTAAAAAATCAAAATTATATCATTTTGAAACAATCAAATTATCTCAGATCATAGTGGAATACAGCTAGAAATCAACATCAAGAGGAACTTTGGAAGCTACATAAATATATGAAAATTAAAGAGCATGCTCCTGACTAATCACTGGGTTGATAACAAAAATTAAGACAGAAATTATTTTTTCTGAAATGAATGAAAACAAAAACATAACACACCAAAACCTGTGAGATATAGCAAAACAGTGCTAAGAGGGAAGTTTATAGCATTAAATATCTACATCAAAAAGGGAGAAAGATCACAAATGAACATCCCAACATTACAACTTCAGTGACTATTAATATAAAAAGAATAAACCAAACCTAAAGTTGGCAGAAGAAAAGAAACAACAAAGATCAGGGCAGAACTAAAGGAAATAGAGACCAAAAAATACAAAGGACCAATGAAACAAAAAGTTGGTTCTTTTAAAAGAAAATTGATAAATCACTAGCTAACCAGAAAAGACCCAAATAAACATAATAACAAATGAAAAAAGGAGACATTACGACTGATACCACAGAAATGCAAGAGATCCTCACAGACTATCATGAAAAACTGTACAAGCACAAACCAAGAGGAAATTGATAAATTCCTGGAAATGCTCAACCTATCAAGATTGAATTAGAAAGAATTACAACTCCTGAACAACCAATAATGAGTAGCAAGACTGAATTACTAAAAACAAACAAACAAACAAAAAACCCCAAAACCAAAAAAACAAAACAACCCCCCAACCAAACTTCCAGTAACAACAACAAAAAGCTCAGGACTAGATGGATTCACAGCAGAATTCTACCAAACACACAAAGAAGAATTAATACCAATCCTCCTGAAACTATTCCAAAAAATTAGGGAGAAGGGAATTCTCCCCAACTCATTCTACAAGGCCAGTGTCACCCTGATATGAAAATCAGACAAGGACACAAAAACTACAGACCAGTATACTTCAACAGATGCAAAAACCCTCAACAAAATACTAGAAAATTAAATCCAATAGCACATAAAAAGGATAATGCATTATGATCAGGTGGGACTCATACCAGAGATGCAAGGATAGTTTGATATACACAAATCAATAAACGTGATACATCACATAAACAGAATTAAGGAGAAAAATGATATGATATCTCAACAGATGCAGAAAAAGCCTTTGATAAAATTCAGCATCATTTCATTTAAAAATCCACAACAAACCATTTATAAAAGCAACATACCTCAACATAATAAAGCCCATATACAACAAACGCAAG